TATCATCATCGTCATCATCATCATCATCATCATCATCATCATCATCATCATAATCATCATCATCATCATCATCATCATCACCTGCGTATTAACAGGGTCATCGATAATACTCAGCCCGACCGGAAGTGAGAGCGTGTACCTACGTTTTTTGTGATCGATACGGCCTCGGTCCATAGGGTAGCATGCATTTACTTTTCAAAATTGGATGTATTATTAACGCATAACAGTGAACATGTACGAATTGTTATCGATATTGTTCCAAGGTGGGTGATTTCGATACGTGTAACAAAGTTGCGTACGAATGAAAAAAAAGACATGGATGTTTGAGTGCTTTCATGAAGTTGTAAGTCTACATTTATTGGACTGTTCCCTCGCCAGCGACCGTATCGCAGAATAAAGATCCGAATGGAAACGATTAGAATTATCCTGTTTCCACTGTTTTTCTTAAGAGAAGATTCTTCAAGAAAAACGTTGTTTCCTTCACAAATAGACCCATTGTAAATTCTATCACTTGATCTTTTCATTGGAAACAGGACAATTTTAACACGCTCCCCTTCAATCTTCCCAATGCAACTGGCCGACTGACGACGAACATTACACTGAAACGCGACCAAAGAAAGATCTTATAGCACAAAAACCGTTGGAAACGTCGCGTCCCGGTAGCTGTACAAAAACAAAAGCTCCATCAATCTCCGAATCTCTCGTGAACGGGCAGCAATTCATCATGGTATTCTCTCAACGTGAGACATTGTAAATACTCTCACCGAGGCAGACGATCCGACGTAGAGCATTGTATTAAATGCAGTGAGGTAGCTGCGCAATAGCGAGTGCTTATATTAAAAATGTAAGATGAAAAACAGATGTAGAAAAAGAGGTAAATAGATAGAGAGAAAGACAGACACAGAAAAAAGAGAGAGAGAGAGAGAGAGAGAAAGAGAGACAGAGAGAGCGTGAAAAAAAATTGTAAGCTCGCATGGTGTGTTTTAAATGCAACAGTGTCAGTGCGATGGCCAGAGCGATGTTGCGCGCGCGCATCAATTAAAAGCTATAGATCATGAACGTTTCTTTTTTGTTTGTTTTTTAATCACCGAGCTTTGTGAGATCTTTCTTTTTTCATTCGTTTTTGTTCTACTCGTGTGTTCCGAAATCGAGCAACATTTCGTTATTATCATTTGTCCACACCGCCGATCCTCTATCAACTATAGAAGCGTACAACATTTAACAACATACATATATATAACAATATACATATATATATATAATCAGATATATAATCAGATATATAATATATACATATATGTATATATATATGTATGTATATAGGTAAAGACAAGTGCACACGGAATAAACATGATTCTCTGACTCTAAGTTCCCTTTGATGTTTGCCGAGTTACGGCAACCGCGGGTATGGCAGAGTGATCGGGGTGATCACCACGGCGTGAGTATTGTACTCGTAGCCGGGTGGTATGGTCACGACCGAGATTAACGTCACAAAGAACAGTACACCAGTAATAATAATCATCATCCTAGAAATCTCCTTACTTTTCTGTTCGATTAGCCATTCCAGAACTCTCTCCTCGTTCTTAAGATTACCTACAAAAGGCACACACGCATATCAGGATCAGCTCAGTTGCACGGTGCACCGTGATCATTGGAGCGGGGCTTTTAGATATCTATTTTGGGGGGTTCGTTGGGTTCTTATGGGATTGTTAGGAGAAAGGATAGCCAGTTGTTCTTCCTTCTTTACTGCTATCTCTTTTGTAGCTTTCAACACATTCAGAACCTGGTCTGTAAGGTGAAAATGTTATATCGTCTTTGCTATTCTTAGGATACTTACTGTCCGTATTTTAAACTTCCCTTTTGCAAAACAATCGTTTAAGGTTACGTGTGATTCACATAGATATAGTTCCTTGTGTCTAAAAATAACCTAAATGACTAAGACTTAAGTAATTGAAAAATGATCTTATGAACCTTGTTGAAAGTTATCTTACTTCCTCGTCTTCCTAACTTCAAGTGGTACTGAATGTGTCAAGGTAGCGTTAATGTTTTTATCCACAATTAGCCTTTCGCGAATAATGAATTTTTTGTGCTTTAGAAACTCTTATATTCTTCATTAAAGAAGAACAATTATTGGGGAGGATGATATTTTTCACGGGAAAGTGTAGAGAAGACATCTCTACGGTCTTTGTTTCCTCTAGACGACTGAAACGAAACTAGAAATACCTTTAAGCAAAGAAACAAAGACGATCTGTCCGAGGGAGGGTGTTGATCGTGATCGAACAAGCCAAGGATGAAGCATTTGAGACTTACCGTCGTACATGATGGGGACGCCAGTCTCGTAATAAACGAGAGCTGGGAATGAGAACACACCGATCTCAGCGGCTAATTTAGCATCGTTCGCCTTTACGAACTGAATACCGTGTTTATCGGTGTCGTCGTCAATGGTTTCTAGCTCCTCGAGGATTTCCGGGCACGACTCACATTTATCATCGTCTGTCGAAAGAGACATCATTGTCAGAAATTACTCTTCGAACATCTCGTATCCCCTTTGCGTTGCTCTCTTTAGCGCACAATACTTTCGAAATGAAATAGGAATTATAAAAAGAAAGATTCACTCGTTGATGAGCAGACTTACAAAAGAATACAGCGAGATGCTCGACGTCGTTGATGAGAACTTGTAACGTCTTTCTATCCACGCTTTCGATCACGTCTGGGGTTTGGGTACGGAGCTCCAGGATCCATTCCAAAATGGCCTCCTCGTGCATCATGTCGCCAGTGTACACTTGCCTGAACTTGTGCCTGTAGTACGCCAATGCCGGTAGACCCGGTAGATCGTACTCCTTCTCGATACCCTCGTCCGAGATCTTCACGAAGTCGATGTCCTTCTCTTCGCACTCTTCATCGATATTCTCTAGCTCCTGTAGGATCTTCTGGCTCTTTTTATCGCCTTCTTTGTCTAGAATGAAGACGATTACAGTAAACAATTGCTTTCATCACGCAGCTAAGACAGTTGAGTCTTTCAAAGTGATTAACTTTATTTTTCAAAGGTTTTTCAATTTTAATGCTGTAACGCTTATGTAGTTTCATCAAGCTCTATTCATTATTCACTTTGTGGAGTCGATCACTTTAACGAATAACTCAATGAATTTTTGTACTCACAGAAGAAGACAACGACGTAATCATTTTCTTCCAGTATACTTTCCAACATCTTAGCATTCACTTCCTCGATCTTCCCGGGGATCTCCAGAGTATCTTCGTCGGTGATCCACGACAGCACTTCGTCCTCGTCTTCAAGGTCACCTTTGAAGATTAAAGGTTCCTTGTTTCTGAAGAAGGCCAGGGTGGGGAAGCTTCTGATCCCGTATTTCTTCGCGACTCCAGTGTCTTCTGTGGTGATGAAGATGATGCCCGTCTCGTCCAGCTCGTCATCGATGTTCTCGAGTTCTTCGAGCACTTTGTCGCAGTGGTCTCCTTCATCGCAGTCTCCGCCTGGTCGTATTGACACGAGCATTAATGTGAAACGTTTAACGTGCCTAAATCGTTTCATTTAAAAGAACAATTCTAAAAAATTTGTATTTGAACATTCACTATCTACCAGATACTATAGTTTTCCTTCATCATATTCCTTCACGATACATATTCAATATGGCTGCCAATGGTAGCCATCTTGAATGTTTGAACATCGTTTAAAGACACATTTAAAGTAAACATCTGAAGTATAGATGCATCTTATCGTTCTTTTCGACTTAAAAAACACGTTTGCAGTTTGCGGAAGTTCGAAGTTAGCACCTTTTTCTACGAAGAAAGACAATTTTAAACGCGACGAACGATATACGTACTGAAAAACGCGACGACGTATTCGTGTTCCTCGATCAGATCGGTCAAAATCTCGTCCGTGACTTCCTCGATGGTGGCTGTGTGCTTCTGCTCGATGAGCCACTCGAGGACCTCATCCTCGTTCAGAAGATCGCCCTCGTAAATGGCCGGGATTTTGTTCTCGAAGTAGACCAGAGTCGGAAAATGATCGATACCGTACTCCTTCGCCTCGGCCTTGTTGTCCATCCGGATGATGACGATCTCCTCCCTTTCCAAATCGTCGTCGATGTTCTCCAGCTCGTTCAGAACACGTATGTCCTGCTTGTCTTCTTTGTCGTCTACGGAAAGGAATCAATTCGTGTCTCGTTTTCGCCCGCAATCGACCAACAGCACCTACCTAACCGGTAACAGTGGAAGAATGTTAAAAGGAGGTAGAAAGACGAATCGATCGCTTACAAAACAGGACTGCCAAGAACGGCGAGGTCTCAATCAGCTTCTCCATCATCTCGTCCGTCACTTCCGGTATCTCCGTGTGCTTCTTCTGATGCAGCAGCCAGCCCAGCAACTGATCCTCGTTCATCAGATCGCCTGAAGAATCAATCATATTTTTCATTCCATGATTTGAAATTTTCGAATTTCACATTATTCGTTAACTAAGCAAAAGATTAACATTTTTCCTTTCCTTTCAGTTCATCGATTCGTATAATTTTTTACTATATACACTTATTTACTTATTACCGTTATTACATTTATATTATTATAAGTTATTAGATTAATAAAACTAGAACAATAAAAAAAATGTACCTTCGTACACGTGCGGTATTTTTCTCTCGAAGAGTACCAGTGTAGGTAAACTGTCAATGCCGTACTCTTTCGCCTCATCGGGGTCGCTAATCTTCACGAACGCTATGTTTTGCTGGTCACAGTCGTCATCGATGTTCTCTAGTTCGCCGAGAACCTTCTGACTCTTCTTTTGATCCTTGTCATCTGTCCGAAAGAAATAATAATACAGTTAATCGAATGTAATAATTCCTTTCGATGGAAAGTAATTTAATTCATTTAATTAATTACTGACAGAATAGTACGGCCACGTGCGGCATCTTTTCGATGATCATGTCGAGCACTTCGTCGGTGATGTCTTCGATCTCATCACTCTTCTGCTGATCTTCCAACCATTTCAGCACCTTCTCCTCGTCTTCTAGATTTCCCTCATATAATATCGGAATTCCTTTTTCGAAATAGAGCAAGCTCGGCATCTTTTCGATACCATATTCTTTAGCCTCTTCCGGGTTATCGATCTTTACGAAGATCACTCCAAGCTGATCACACTCGTCGTCAATGTTCTCCAGTTCGTTGAGGATCTTCTGGGACTTCCGGTCGTTGTTGTCATCTGGTAAATTTTTATTAGGAATTTTAATCGACATTGCCATAGACAATTCGTGAAATTTCATTAGGTTGTGGCAGATGAAGAGGATATCTTATGTTATGTTACAGTTTAAATAAGCTTCATCCTTCTAATTAGTTAAAAGTGGAAAACTGTACGTGACCCAGCAATTTGGTTTTCGGATTCGTATTTAGGGTAAGGAACTCTATAAGAATCACCTAGTGGTTATTGTAAAAAAACAAAAAAAGTTCAAATTTGTTCCACAGTGGAATTAAATACGAATGAGGTAACTTACAGAACAACACAGCAATGGTTTTTCCATCCTTGATCAAGTGATCCAACATTTCGTCGGTGATGTCTTCGATTTCATCCTTTTCCAACTGCGACAGTAGCCACTCCAGGATTTCGTCTTCGTTCTCGACGTCTCCTGCGATCATAGAATTTTATTTTATCCTATTTCCGATTATACAAGGTGTCCTACAGTATTGACCAAACATTCAAAAAGGAGGAGACTGTTTACAAAAAAAATCAGAAATGTAGAAAATATTCATTCGTCTTTGTACTATATTCCTCGAACATATTTCAGTATGTTTAAAAAAGAAACCTGTTCAAAATTCAAATCATAAACAGATACTAAACTATTCCTACTTTTAACCCCTTGTCTTATGATCTCTTTTACAACTGTGCTTGATGGAATTATTTGACTGTTAATGATTTACAAGAAAATAAAATAATTTGGTGCTTATTCTGTGTCTACGTTTACTTCAAAGGTTAAAGACTGATAATAGACAAGTAGTATTTCATTTATATGAAAAATAAATAAATAACATGTAGATTCGTCGAATTCGATTGAGAATTTTCATCACGAGTCTGACTCGATGTTATAGGAGAAGGGGTTAACAATCAAAATTACTTCTAACTGCTTCGCCACAATGTGGAATCAGTTCCTTTTCGACTATACCCATAGTTACAGGAAACTCTGCCCATGAAACCCTTCAAATCCTCTTTTGAATCGTTCCCCAACTCTGGTCGATCCACCTACCCACCATCGTAAACATTCGGGATTTGCTTCTCAAAATAGACTATTGATGGGAGGTTATCGATTCCGAAATCCTTTGCCGCCTTCTCGTCGTCGATCTTGACGAACTGGATCCCGTGCTTATCGCAGTCGTCGTCGATCTTTTCTAGCTCGTTCAACACCTGCATCGAATCTTCGTCACCGTGATCGTCTAAGAGATTCATGAAATAAAATGATCAATAACCGAATAAAATATTAATCCATTACAATACGGACCTGTCAAAAATCTTATTTTTTCACGACTTCGCTATGGTCGTTAATTTTTATTGCAAACTGATATGAAGATTTGGCTAAAGTGTCATTTATATATTAAATTAAGGACTATAATAAGTATCTTAGAACTTTGAAATTTGTACAGGACTTACAATAATGGACAATTAAGCCAAACCATGAAAGGTCCATATTAAAAAGTATATTTAAAGAAATGTTGCATACAAAATAAGACGACCAGGTTGTCAATGTTTCCAATTAAAGTCTGCAGGGTTTTGGCAGTGACGTCCTCGATCACATCCTCTTCGTCGCCAGTGCTCTTGTTCGCGACCAACCATTCCAGCACGTCCTCTTCTCTGCTAAGCTCATCTACACGAATTTTTAATCAATTGTTAGTTACAGTTTCTCTTAAAATCAACATATCTCTAGACAATTTGAATTTAATGATTCTCAGCATTTCGAAGAAAGGTATTCTATATAAGAATTTGATCTTCTTTAATCTTAAATGAAAACTGGGCGTTGTCATTGAATACTCATTCCTTTTTAAAGTTCTTTTTTCAATTCTCAAAGTTAAAAATGAATTTCAGTTCATTGAGGATTTATATCAGAAGATATAGAGAATTGTTAAGATCGCTTACTCTCGTAAATAATAGGAATTTGATGCCTGTAGTAGACTAAGGCTGGAAGTGGGCCCAGATTGTACTCATCCGCGAGCTGCTCGTCGGCGATCTTCACGAACCCGATACCCAACTGATCAGCTTCGTCGTCGATGTTCTCCAGTTCTTGAAGGGCCTTGAGACATTTTTTGCAGTCTGGTTTGTCTGTCCCATTTAAAATAAAAAGCAGTGTTACTAGACAGCTTTGTTGAATACCGAGATCGGAAGACAAAATCAAATCGGATAAAGGCCAAATCGGCTCAATTTCCGACTCGATTTCTTCCTTTTCACCTCTTCGAGGATAATCGTATCTGTGTTGCTTTTCATCCTTAAATTACCTTCACGAATACCGTATCAGATTCGAATTTATCGCAGAATTGTCTGCGAAAGAGATTCAATTAATTTCCAATGTATCAAAATTCAACTGTTCAATCATTCTTTTCGATTTACGGTAATGGATTCGATTTACTGTATAGAAAGAAATTCGTTACCCGAAAACACTTTGGATTAGTATGAAAAATTTCTCTCAGTTATGGTGCACATTCATTCTATTCTAGGGGGGTGGATGCATATTCTATTCTATAATCATGTCCTCCAATGCACACACGACGCGGAATTAATAACTGAAAAAGAGCCCATTGTGTTTCATACTTTTTACAGGATAATACGGACAAAAATTGTAATATCACGTTACATGTTTCATGGTATTACACGTGAAAATGTTTCATAAAAATTTCACGGGAATCCGTTAAAAATATCTGTCGATTCGTCGTTTCCTTTCACCCTATGGATTTTGAATCTGTCTATCGCGACAGAGAGAAATTTAAGTGATTGCTGCAAGCGATGCAATTTGTCCAAATGTTTATTAATAAACATCGTTACGTGGGATGGGCATGTAAATACATATGAGGAGACATACAAGCAGGAAGTCACTGCTGGTTCGTTCGAGAACAACAAAATTGTCAATCACACTTTTAAAGTGATCAATAGCGTAATTCCGGGCGAAATGACTCATTAAAATTGTCAAATATTTTCAATTTCTTTGAGTGGTACCTATTTAACTATTCTTCTTATATAGGGATAATTATGTTAATAAATATGTTTGATTTTTTGTTATGTATCAATAATATTTAGAATATATTAGATCTTTTTAAAAAACTAGGCCATCTCTCCCCGACTTACCTTAGATCGTGGATCCTTATGTATTGACAGCATTCGAAAATGTGTAAAATATACAAAAATATTTACATGAACAATCTTCAATTTAACAGTGTTAGCCAAAGAAATAAAATACTAATTTTTCCTTTATCCTGATTCTTACAAAACCGCGTATAAAAATGAAACGTTGCATAAAGATCCGGTCTGGTGATCAAATATAAATTCTGATGTTTTGTTGTTCTCCAAGATCTTCGTTCGTGCATTGTGATACGTGTGCAAGCATCGAGAACGAAAGCTTTACGAACATATGTAAGAACGACTTCGTTTGAATGTGTACTTACTAGAACCGACGCCAGCACACCGCTGCGAATCCGGACCTATCCATATCAACACACACAAGAACGTTTCACATATATGTATTATTTACAAGTATCTCGCAAGTGGACCGAACCGCAAAGTGGATGCACCTTCTTTGGAAACTGTCTATAATACAATTGCAAGACATTCTCGAAGTGCAGCCTTTAAGCTTTTTCTTATTGGGGTTTCCGGTTGTTCACTTTGCGATGCGTTGATTTCGCCACAACGGACAATAACAAATGTTCGCAGACAGTGGGAGAGAGACGATCGACAGAGGAATCGACGGGATTCCTTGGTAGGTGGACCAGACATTTACGGCGCTCTTTGAACGGAGGAAAATTTTGGGAATAGTATAATACAAGTTTTTACAAAACCGTTGTAGATTAGATTGCGTATTTCTGTACAAATGTTTACAACTGTCTACATTAGATTGCATGCTTCTGTACAAATCTTCAAACTGTGTAGATTTAATTCTGTATTCCTGTACAAATTTCTGTACAAATACTCTTAGTATCAGAGATCTTGTATTTTTCTTCTAACTAATACGAAAAATTGATTATTTTATTACTGGATACTTACTACATTGAATGTTTTTAAAATTTTATACTGAATGTTTTTGAAATCCTTCGTTTCACCAATTCGAAATGTAGTACTTTGTAAATCTTTAATGCGATAGGAACAATTTATATTTTCAGATTTCAAAGAATTTTCTATGTTGGTACGAAGTTATCGTGTTTTTATACTGAGAAACCTCTCTTTCTCCATTGAAGAAAATTTTCCTTCGTAATGGAAGTTACGTAGAGCATTAAGGCGGGATCGAAGGCGAGTACAATGTACGTAGTTTGTAATATTAACAACCAAAAGATCAAATCGTCTACAAGATGCACTGTAATAAATTTCGATAGTTCCATTAGGTACGTACGACTGAATACTTTTCTTGCTAATTACTCTTCGCTTTCAATGTCTAATGAAAAAAGTTGTTGTTAGTAATACCAAACCTTCTTCCCTACAAAATATTATTGTATTAATCGTCGCTCATGTAAGCAGCGAATATCAGTGACAAAAAAACAAAGAAATCGTATCGGAACTTGTTAACAGAACCGCAGTCGCTGGAAATCCTGCAAAGCCCTGTTAATCCTTTGTACGCTGTCGTTGTTATGTATTTGCCGTCTTTACATGAGGATATTAGTTGTAGAACAAAATAATAATTAAAGTACTCGTACTGTACACTACGTATGTACATGAGTAAATATATATGCTGCTTTGATCTTTCGCGAAGATAAACTATGTACATGGCTGGAATGATCAATTCTGTGGGTGATTGAAGAGAAGAATTCGCGGTTCGTTTGTTTTCACCGTGAAGAGCGATCACATAGATCCGACAGAAATAAAATCGTTTGTATCTCATTCGATTGCAATGCGAAACGAATCGAACGATTCAACCTCACTTTCTATCAAACCATTAGAAGAATTCTATTTTCATTCATTCCTTTTTTTCACAAAAATTGATTTTCACGCTCTTTTCGATGAAAATGAAACTAAGTGTAAGACAGGTGTATGTATCGTAAAACAGTTTCTTCTGTACATAACAAGACCATATGAGGGAACTCACAGAATAAGACTGCCACAAATTCTGTGTCTTCGACGATCTTCTGCAGAATCTTCGAGTTTACCTCTTCAATACGATCGGGCAAGTCCATTGCCTCTAGACTCGTCAGGAAGTCTAGGACATTTTCTTCGTCCATCAAGTCTCCTGAAATGCGCACATAATACATTGAAATATATTTAGTCGACTTTTAGTATAGCACATCTATTTTTCAGAACTCGACGTTGAAAGGTCAATTTCAGCATGATCTTCTACATAGAAACTATTATGTAATACCACTGATTTCGAACAAGCAAAATTTCCAAGAAAACTAAGCCACGACGACGTTCCTTCATCCCGAGTTATTTATTTTGCCTGGCCACCGATGTTTCCGTTAAACGGAGAAACCGTGCGATGAGATGATAGTTTGCTTTCCCCTGTACGACTATTTATTTGTATTTCCCATTCCGAAAATAAACATTTTTTTCCCCGTTGCCACCGCGCGCGCGGAATGGGGATGGTGTTAAGTTACAACTTCAGTTAGACTTAAAGAGTTAATAATATACCCCTAATTGCGACTTCCTGCCGCTTCTGTTTACCATCCCGAGGCGTCGAAAATAGACGTCTATTGCGGTGCGTTGCATTAGGTACAATGGAAATAGATGCAACCTGTCGTTACATCATCGAACGAAAAATCAACCGAGACGTTCCGGTGAAAGACAACTCGTTCGACGCACCCTTTCGCGTCCTCCCGGGAATTCGGCCCCGTCCGGATATTTCGTGGATCGGGTTTAATAAATCTACACGTTCGCGTTGCCAAACGCGGGCTTTGCTGACCACAATGTAGCAGGATTGATGATCACACCTGTACCGCGGTCTGCTTCCGCGTTGGGTGGCCAACCGCATCCAATTTCTGATTTTCTTTCTCAAACCGAGCGCACGAACGCGTTCCATTAAAGCTGTCGGATCTTTTTAATCGATCGTTTTCTCTATGATTTCTTTCGTAATTGAAATTGCTCGTTTGGTAAATTAGTTGATTTTATATTTTTAATTTTTTGAGATTTTATAGTTAATGCGCTTGATTTGCTCTTAACTATTTGTATTTAAAAGAAATTTCATTGTTATTGGGTTTGGGTCTTTAATCATTGATGAGACAGAAATGTTAACGACTGACGATAGAAAAGTAATGTTTAGTATATATTAAAGGAAAGTAAACAATATTTGGATTTGACAAATTCAGGTTAAAATTTCTATCGTGAGTGTCACATGATATTATAGGAAAAGGAGTTAATAGATTAACATTTGCGCGTTCGTGTTTCGTCAGTGAGGGTTTCTATAAGAAAAATTCACTTATACAGTCAAATTTGAATTGATAATTATATAGTAATAATATTCTTTAACCGTAGTATTTCTTATTCCGGTGATTACATTCAGATTCCATAACGCATCGCGTAGATATAAAACCGTGGAAAACGATTAACCGAAAAAAGTCCAGCATTCCAGAGTTGCAATCAAGAAAAACACAATTTTCTCTTAATACCCACAGCTATTTCATTACACATTCCATATTAAATATCTCGCATCAAGTTCCTTTATGATTCACACAACCTAGTCCCTTCGGGAAACATTGATTTCCATCCAGGGCTCATTAAAAATCTATTTACTATATATTCCAAACAAAACTAGCTCGCGACAGAGCCATGCAATGCCGCGGAAGGCGGTGTCAGTAATATCTAGGTTAAAAACCGAAAATACCCGTTACCCGAGAATCCCACGAATCCGAAATTCGACGTCGCGAGAAACCTGTGAACGGTGTAGAATGAAATCCGCAACGTTTCATTGGGAATTTCGTTGCGATCGACGGACGCCGTCACATTGTAGCAGAAACTTTTCGCTTCTGACCGCCTGAAAGCGTCCCCCGGTCTAAATGTAGAGAGCTAGACAGCCAGAGCGGCTCAATGAAACCGTGAGATACAGAACACGGCGCACAGCGTCGCCTCGATTACGTAACAAGTGCATTCCTTGTACTCTATTAATTTCTCTTCGCCGCGGATGCGTCACTGTTGGCCCAGAGCTCGTGCATATCGATAGGGAGAAGCGAGCGACGCGATGGTCCGCGCCGCGGTAGGATCATCTTCGTGTCGAAGGGGTTGTTTGTCGAACAAAAGTCCGAGCATACGGTTGCTGCTGTTTTACAGGCACACCGGACCGAATACCAAAGCCTGGGACGGCTGCCAGGGAACGGAGATGGTCAGACCAGAGGTGTGACCGCTACGAAAATCTACGATTCTTTGATCGATTAACGCAACTTTTGCGCCCGACGTCCGCCGTTCGGACGTCAGCCCCTGGATTATTAACGGGCATCCGATTTAGTTTCGTATATTCATATTTTCGGACTTGTTTACGCGCCGAAATGGTTACACGTGCGTTGGGGAACTATGTTGGAGCCATTTGGTAGATAATATCGGTATCGGTACGTAGAATTTTAACGCGCAGGATTACGTTTGTATTTCAAGGTACGAGAAAATTATATTTATAGCTGTACAATGCGGTGAACGCAATTTGGAGAAATTGTTAGGGGTTACATTGTAGCGACGGAATTTTCTAACAGAGTTTTCGGAGTGGAAATGATTTGAAAGAGTTTCTGTTAATGTTATTAAGGGGGATGTTTCCTGGTATTATTTTGCGAGTATTGTTTGCTGAGGCTTTCAAGAGACATTTTGATGTACGCGTTGGCTGATGATGATACATTATTGTTTTTTTGATCCAGAAAAGTGTAGAAACTATGAGAATTCAAGAATACCGACGATTGTTATATGGATTCTGGGTCAAGTACTATAACGCACCGAGTCTCGAACCTTGTTTCTCATACCTGGCAAGGTTACCGAGATCGCGGCCGGATTCCAATAAAAGTTTGGCGAACTTTTAGCCATTTGGAATCATTACTACCCGCCTTTGTTCGTCATGCGTGCAGACGCGAAGTAAATATTGGGTCCCGTGGAATGATCTGCGACTTGTTTCATATTACTTTCAAGTGCATTGTGCGTGCAACATTATAAATAACAATTTATACTGTTCGTATAACTAAAACAATTTCTATAAAATTCTTAATACTTTTCAAAAAACGGTCGCTATATAAATGTTATTATTTTCTAATTTTGGAATTAAATATCCTGAGGAAAATGATTGAAAAAGAATGTTGACAAAATTTTAATTAGCAATTTCTTTGTCTCTTTTCTTGAAGTAAAGAGATTAAATATCAGTTTTCTTTAATATTTATTTATAATCATGCCTACCATATCTTTTATAACTTGTGTTTACATTATTTATGATAACTTACGTTTATGTTGTGGACGCTAAGTGATAGAGTGTAATTTAATTAGGGTTGAATGTTGAGAGAACTAACCTTCGTATATGATTGGTTCCTTTTCACGGAAATACGTGAGGGCTGGGAAATTTTTGATACCATATTGCTTGGCCAGTCGTTTGTCGTTGATCTTGACGAAGTCGACCCCAAAGTGGTCCGTGTCGTCGTCGATCTTCTCCAGTTCGGCCAGCACTCTGTCGCATGTCGTGCAACTTCTCGCATCTGTACAAACGAATAGAAATTAATCAGTTTCCTTTATCACGATGGAAATTCTCCTAATTTCCTAATCAATTATTTTCGATTACATTTCGAAAAGTTGACACTTGGATATTCCACTTAAGATTCTCCTTGGAAAATGATTAATCGACAAAGAAAGATACCTAGCAAATAAAATGTAAAATACTGATCATTATGAGGTAACCAGACGCTCAAATAAAATATCCTATTGACATCTTGAATGTACCAGCACCCTAAACACTTAATTAATAAGGTTTGGTCACTCTATTTCAAAATTGAAGGCTGCTCAAAGCATTTCAGCTAGACGTAATTTAGTTTACGCTCTCGAAGCTAATGAAATAACGTGACAGAAACTAGCAGAGTCCGTCTATATAAATATTCACATTCTATTGCTAGTATGTGCCCAAAACAGTAACTTCACTTCGGAAAGGACTACTTGGACTTATTTCAAAATATTGAAATGATGGAATACACACCTTCGTGAATTCGAAATATTATTAAATTCGAGTCCCATCAATGAATTTCAATGATCTAACCAAAAATGACACACAACTATATTCAAAAGAAACGCCACCTACGCACATAAGGGAAGTACAAATTCGTTATTCACCAAATTTCGGAAACATCATTTCGCCTCTGAATTTCGAAAGAAATTCACGACGTGCTCGTTTCAAAATGAAAAATCCCGATGACCTAAAGGCATGAACGTCATCGGAACCTCCTGAAACGCTACACGTCGGCGGCTTGGGGTCAAAGATTAATTTCTCGAGTACGATAATCCTTGAAACCGGCCTTGCGTTACAGAAGAAGGAAAGCTAATCCTTCGCGGAGCGAGTTTTATGCTTATCGTCGGTGGCTTGGCAGTTCCGAGCGTTCTTGGCCGGCTCCACTCCGTTCCGCTCGCCGGTCCGGCGGACGAGCTACGCGGGTGTTGGGTTACAATCATTGGATATGGACGGCAAGGTGTTCGCCGGACGTTTCTTCATCGATCCCCGTCGATTCTCAGACGGTCGACGATCACGATCTCGCCGGTCATCAATAAAATCCGAGACGAAAGAAATAATGTTGGTCAGCCGTCGAACAGGTGGACGTCGCCATTTTTGGTGACGACATCCCCGGAATAGAGTCACAAAAGAGGTTCCGACTCTCCTCTCTCTCCTCTCCTTTCACGAACTCCTTTCCCTCGTTTTTCTTACTGTTTCTTTTTATGTACTCCCTTCTGGTTCCTGAACTCGATTCTATTTTCGTGCCGGTGTCTGACCCTTTCGAACCCGCAGTCACTTGCGTGTCATTGTTTGGTCTAAATCCGCTTAATTGTTGTCTGAACCTCAACCGACGCGTCTGTTTTGCACGATCGTTTCCCTATATTTCCCTTTATCGATCGTATCTGTCGTTCGTTCGGTCCGTCGGTCTTGCCGAGGCAATAACACGCGGCAGCTGACACCCCCGCAGAAAACCTGGCACCGCGGTTACGTGGAAGAGGGAAAGAGGACGCGTCCGAGGGAGGAGAGAGTGAAAGCCAGCCGATTCGTTGGAAAACGTGTGCCAGTTAAATTGGACTGACTCCGCCGGTTGCGTTCGCGGTAGAGGAAAGTTGAGAGAAATCGGAACGACGTCATTCAATGACGCGGAAACTTTGTTTTTAGGGTTTCCTTGAACGCTGAGGGTGTCTATTGGGGTTTGACTGTGAAGCTTTGGCTGGTAGACCTGTATCTTGATTATTTATTTCTCGTGTAAGTTAAGTATAGAAATAAGTTGAATTTGAAAAAAAATGTCGTGGTTTTTGTTATGGAGTAAAATAGTTATTATTTGTTTCTTTTGGCGTGAGATTAAATTGGAAATTGAGAAATAGTTTTTAATATTGTTTTATTTCTTTTAATTTTGTTGTGAAGCTTTTGTATCGATGGATCGTTCTGATATTTAGAAAATTCTGTGGTTTTATGGGAATTCTTTTTATTAAGAGGATAGCAGAAATGATTTTGATGTTGTATTATTTAATGAGTGACCTATATAACAATACTCGAATATTCACCAGCTACGAAAACGATCCCAAACTGATCTTCCCGGTCGTGCAGAGACTCGCAAACAAATATAAATAGAGCGACACAAAACAATTCTATTTTTATTTCCTATAGTGTCCACCCACTCGTTCCGCTCTTAAACGGATCGTCGAATCGGGTACGGAAAATAAGCGATACCGCTGAATCTCGATTTCATGGTTGGATCATCGATTGTGGCGGTTTAACATTACTTGCGAATCGTCTTTTATTTCTTTCAGAATCGACCATAATAAGGCTATCACGCATACCGCAATGCTATTCGATTAAAAATATTTCTGTTGTATTTAAAAATATTTTTTAATAATATTCAACATTTCATTTGTTATTTTTAATTCGTTGGCAAGTATTTTTAAATAGTGTAATTAATTTTGATGAGTTTATTGACTTACGAATATACTTATGAATTTTGTGTCATCTTTAAAGATTCAAAACTATTGTGAAATTAATTAATTTTTTTTAAGTTATTTTTCTAAATCCACGTTCCTAAATTTCACGTTTGTAATATACGGGATCAAGATGAAAATATGATTGTTAGCGATTTAAATAGAAACGTTAAGACAGCTATAAAGCTTTCTTCGATGAGTCTATTTTCTAGTAGTAAACATCGTCCTGAAGTCAGTCGCCATTTTACATTCCATTTCTGTCAATTCACACCCACAAAGTGTATTCTCCTCTTTTCAAAAATAAATTCATTCCATCGTATACCTTTCAACTCAAAATAATAGATTCATACCCTTTAATCTATAAACGAGGACTAGTTGATTGATTGTGAACCTCAGTGGTAGAACGGTTCAAATGTTCGATCAAAGAAATATTTATAGCTATAAGGTAAGACATCATAACTCACATGTTTTTCTATCACAAAGATCAATAATTCAATATTTTTAATTACCAACGTCCTTCCAAAAACTTAATTAATCTATACTTTTTTAAGTTTGGAAAGGAAGAACGTATTCTGATTGGCATGT